ATTTGAAGGTTTAGGCAAATTTCCCTCACAGCATCATATTACTTTGAAAGATAATGTCATACCCCATGTGAGTGCTATTCGAAGGGTACCTCATGTGTTACATGAGCGCTTAAAAATAAAATTGCATGATCTTGAAATCAAGGGAATTATAAAAAAAATTGATAAACCCTCTGAATGGGTCCATCCATTAGTTATAGTAGAAAAACCCAATGGTGACCTAAGACTCTGCCTTGATCCTAAGGAGTTAAATCAAGCCGTTAAACGAGAGCACTTTCTGATACCGTCTGTAGATAAGATTGCTGCTAAACTCAGCAGTAAACAGTATTTCACAGTATTAGACATGAAAGATGGATACTGGCAGATTGAATTAGATAATGAAAGTGCCAATTTGATGACATTTGGGACACCATTTGGGAGGTACCAATTCACCAGAATGGCTTTTGGATTATGTTCAGCACCAGAAGTTTTTCAAAAGAAAAATTTCGAAGTTTTTGGTGATCGACAAGGAGTTGGACTATATTTCGACGACCTTATAATCACTGGGTCTTCTGAAGCTGAACATGACCAAAACCTAAAGAATGTATTAGAACGCGCTTTGAAATATAATGTCGAATTTAATAAATCTAAAATTCAATTTAAAAAAAATTCTGACAAGTTTATGGGTCAAATATTTTCTAAAGATGGCGTGAAAACTAATACAGATTACATCAAAGCAATATCAAAAATGCCAACACCACAGTCAAAAAAAGATGTATTGCGATTTATGGGCATGGTAAAATTTGTTGCAAAATTCTTACCTAACCTATTGAAAATATCGGCCTCCTTGAGAAATTTGACTAGACTTGATATTGAATGGGAGTGGACAGCTGAACATCAGCAGTCATTTGATCATCTGAAACATATTTTAACCAATGCTCCAGTTCTGGCTTTCTTCGACCCGAGAAAACACATAGAAATAGAGACTGATGCGTCCAAAGATGGTCTTGGGGCGTGTCTAATTCAAGAGGGCAAACCAGTCGCATTTGCCTCTCGCAGTCTCACAAAAACAGAGCAACAATATGCTCAGATTGAGAAAGAGTGCCTAGCTATCTTGTTTGCTGTGAAGAAATTCCATTATTTCGTGTATGGGTATCATATTACTGTCCATAGTGACCATAAACCACTTGAGTCCATTTTCAAAAAGAGTCTTCAAGATATTTCCCCAAGAATTTTGAGAATGAGATTAAAATTATTAAGTTATGATTTGTCAATTTGCTATAAGCCAGGTATAAAAATGTACATTTCTGACACACTCTCTAGGGCTTTTTTGAGACAAAACGATACACCAGATAATGAAATTGAATATGCAGTTCATTCACTCGATAACACTTTGCCAATGTCAGAAGAAAGAAAACAACAATTCAGGTTGGAAACCAGTCTTGATCCTCAATTGCGAATGATATCAAACTATATTCTTAAGGGATGGCCAAACCAGAAACAGAAAATACCTGAAAATATAAGACATTTCCTAAAACTTGAAGAAAAATTATTTGTTTGTGAAGACCTCATATTTTTAGAAAACAAACTGATAGTTCCCCGAAACTTGAGACAGGAAATGTTGAAATTATTGCATGAGGGACATGTTGGCATCGAAAAAACTAAGGCACAGGCACGCAGAGCATTTTATTGGCCAGGTTTAACGACAGATATTGAGTCTTATATAAAGTCATGCAGGTCTTGCGAAAAATATGCCAGAAAAAACTCTAGACAAACTTTGTTACCATATCCATTACCTAGTAGGCCATGGGAAAGGGTTGCTTCTGATATATTCACCTATGGGGGAAAGAGTTATGTAATTTTATTTGACTCTTATTCCAACTGGCTCGAACTTCTACCAATCAAAGACAAAAGCGCTAATTCTGTGATTACTCAAATCAAAACTGTTTTTTCTCGATTTGGATCTCCTGATTTTCTTCAATGTGATAATGTTCCCTACAATTGTGCGATATTCAAAAAGTTTAGTACAGATTGGAACTTTAGTCTTGTATTCAGAAGTCCATATTATCCAAGGTCCAATGGATTAGCAGAAAAAGCTGTCTCAATTTCAAAAAATTTGATTAAGAAAACAATGGATGAGACGAAAAATACAGATTTTCAGTCAGCTTTATTAAATTATAGAAACTCTCCACTTAAGAACATGGGATATTCCCCATCACAGCTTTTGAATAGTAGAATATGCAAGACTAAAGTACCTGCGAGTGTTGATTTATTGAAGCCCAGTCTGTGTGTTAATGTAATGGCTAAAATGCAAGCCAAACGTGACACAAATGAATATTATTTCAATAAACATGCCAAAGTTTTGAAACCTATAAAGGAAAATAGTGATGTAACAATTCATGATCATATTCGTCATACTTGGAAACCAGCTAGAGTTGTTAGTAATCATAATGCACCAAGATCTTATATGTTGCAGGATTGTTATGGTAACACAGTTAGAAGGAACCGATATGATATTAGAGAATCACAAAATCCGTGACCTATCAGTAGAGAACATGTTGATCATTCAGAACACAATGATATGAAACCTTCTAACAGTGGTTCCCAACCAGACATCATCAATATTGAACCCATCATACATGCTCCTCAATCCAACCAGACAATTGAGAATAGTTCGATAAGTAACAGTCCTCCTCTCAAAGACGCGATATTTACACGTTCTGGTCGCGCGATCAAAAAACCAGAAAAACTAAATCTTTGAAAAAAAAAATAAGCTTGAAAGGGAAGATGTATGATATCGCTTATGTTATAGTTCTTAGGATCCTCTATATATTATAGTGTTGTTCTATTATTAGTATATTGTTGTCATGGTCATGCAGATATTATATATTGTCATCTTGATAGTGACAGCTAGTCAGTTAAATGGAATTAAAGTTGTATACTTTCTAATGGTTGTTTATTCTATCCATCACGAATAGGATTACTAACTTAATACAGAGTTCTTTACCAATTGAAGTATTCTCAAGACCTTATCACCACCAAAATGTAGGAAAAATCCAACACTATCCTTCTTTCCCTATCGTCCCTACGTGAGCATGATGTCTTTGAACATCATGGGAATTTCCCTCCGTGAGCTCCAAGAGATGACGACAAAAATAAAAAACCCAACTACCTATGAAAAGTAATGTTCGTAATTTTGAGCGAGTGAGCTTCAAAGAAATAACTGATCAAATTTTGAAATTCAAATACTATGAGTAACTTGGTATCAAAATATGTAGTTCCAAGCATTTATATTTTATAGAAACTGTCTTCATCGTTTTGAGACGCTGTACCACCTAGGTGCGTCCCACATATGATGAAATTACGTATAGTGACTTTTTCTGACGAAACACGAAGAAACAACAACCACGAATAGTAAATATATACAGTGTGTCCCACTTACCATGCTCATACCATGGGAATCTTTTTAACGGTGAGAGATATGAGGTCGGTTAAATGACACCAAATGTGGAGTTTGTCAAGGCCAACTATAATGTAAAGAAATATTTTGATAAAATCTATTCGTTTTTGTTTTATACGCAAAAAACAGATTTTGATCATTTTCATGTCTCCTCCGTAACTTCTTTATTTATGAAAATATTCAAATAGGAATTTCTTATTCTCATGACAGTTTTTCAAAGTGATTTCGAAAAGAATATGAAATTTATACCAACTCTTTTAGAATTTGAGATATCAGCACCAACTTTAGTTTTTCAAATGTAGGTCATAGCTCACTATGACGTAGTTACAAATAACTAATTTTTCTCTCACAGATGATATGTCGCAGTAATAGTTTTGTGTTGATAACAACGGAGTTATCGTCATTTATACAAAAACAAAAATTATTCGGAAGCCGCCATCTTGAATTCATGAATTTTAACAAAAAAATCATGATCTCCGACCTCAAAAACCCCCACTTACCAATTTTGAATGGAATCGGACCAAATCTTGTCCGCCATCTTGGAGCAGCCATTTTTTTTAATTCCAACAAAAATTCCATAGCTCCGATTAACTTGAAATTTGGCAGGTGTTCATAATTTCGGTGACAATACAATATGGAATTTTTCTTGAAATTAAAAAAATGGCTGCTCCAAGATGGCGGACAAGATTTGGTCCGATTCCATTCAAAATTGGTGAGTGTGGCTTTCTGAGGTCGGAGATCATGATATTTTTGTTAAAATTTATAATTCCAAGATGGCGGCTTCCAATAATTTTTTGTTTTTGTATGAATGACAATAACTCCGGTGTTATCAACACAAAACTATTACTGCGACATATCATCTGTAAGAGAAAAGAAATTTATTTGTAACTAAGTCATAGTGAGCTATGACCTACATTTGAAAAACTAAAGTTGGTGCTGATATCTCGAATTCTAGAAGAGTTGGTATAAATTTCATATTTTTTTAGAAATCACTTTGAAAAACTGCCATGAGAATTTGAGATTCCTATTTGAATATTTTCATAAATAAAGAAATTACGGAGGAGACATATGAAAATGATCAAAATCTATTTTTTGCGTAAAAAACAAAAACGAATATATTTTATCAGAATATTTCTCCACATTATAGTTGGCATTGACAAACTCCACATTTGGTGTCATTCAACCGACCTCGTATCTCTCACAGTTAAAAAGATACCCATGGTGAGCATGGTAAGTGGGACACACTGTATATATACAGGAATAATTGAACCTGCGTACGGTCCTTGCATGCTCCAAGAAGTACTTTGAGGGTCAAATGAATGTGAATAAAAGGAATAAATGTGAAGAATACTCTTCAGTGCGTACTAATTTAACCTATCATTTGTATTCGTGAATATCCATCATTTTGTAAGGTGAGCATCCAAATAAAAATGTTCGCAACTGCATGGTTCCTGTCGATCGAGCATCTTTTGAAAAATATCCTCCTTACGTATACAAATAATGTTGAAATGTACATAAAATTATCATACATTGTGGCAAAAGTGGGCTGACATATTCTTGAGTCCGCCTCTGAAGCCATACCAGACGATTATGCTAATGATTCCTGTTTTGCTACTAATTTCTGGCGGGTTATCTTCAAGACTTGTTTCTCAGTTTCAGATTGCCGTTAATAATTGGGTGATGTGTGTATCATGAATTCTTTGCTAGTGCTGCTATTTGTTTTGAATTTTTATGTTGGTAAGAAGAATCATTATTGAACGCGTTTTCTATAATTATAAAATATTGTTTGTCAGCAGTGACTTATAATCGGTATTTCCTCAGAGACTAACCTATTATTCCATTGTATACATATAGGTATAATAGTTACAATGCTTATTTTTATTGACTTTGTTTATTTGTTGAATGCAAATGAAAATCTCAAGAATGAATTACGGAGGGATTGTATTGAATTATTTGGAGATAAAGAGAAAAAAAAACTTCAATTGTAAAGAAGAAACAAGCATGGACAAACGATATCTGTGTTAATATGAAACACTCTGGCCATAAACACAGCTTTGTTGAATATAAACATATAAACTGATACTCCTAAAATATATTTCTTTCATATTATTGTCAGGAAATGTGCAGTCTTCGTTATTCTTATGAGCACGGAATTATGTGAAAATTATGGATTCCTATATAACATGTGAAAAAATAGTCTCATTTCCCACAGTGACTGTCAAGCAACGAAAGATGAACTGAACCTTGTACCAATAGATAGATGCAAATACTTTGTTACTACCGTGATATTCAGCAGTCATCAAACACTTGGAAACGGTCTTCTACCGAAATATACCACTTAGAGGAGAGGTGTTCAAATAATGGCAATGTAGGATTATTGAAATGATATTGAGTTCTTTATAAACTCAAAGTATTCACCGAACTGTCAACGAATATCTCAATACCTAACAACGATTAAGAGCCACGCACTGACTGAAAGCAAAAAAGCGCCGCATGCCTTCAGATTAATCGTTGGTTTCAAATTCAGTTTGGTTTGTTCACCTGGAAATATAAATATTGTTCACGGCAAAAAAAAACAAATTATATCAATTTCAACCCCGCGTTGGTGAGGTAACCGTAGTGATCTCCATTGATAATGTGTAGGATACCCTAGTATGAGAAATTTTCATGAAATTCAGATTTTCCTCATTTTGACTTCAGATAACATGTTTTTCAAGAATATAAACTGAAATGATAATATATCAGGAATAGGAAGAAAATACTTATTCGCGAATAAATATATTTGATGAGGTATAATATTGAAAAGAAGAATCTCATTCATAGTTTACAAGAAAGTAACCTATCAATATGGAAAGATAAACACGAAAAAAAAAGTTTTGTTGCACAAACAAAATAATTTTGGTCATTTTTTCTTTGTCAAATTAAACAAAATTTTGCGAAATTAATAAAATATATGTTCATTCCAAATAAGCAACCTATTCAAAGAGACAAAACAATTTGTTTGAAATATTTGCTTACTCGAACAAAAGTTTCATTTCTTTCAACAACATTCATAGTTGACATGAAACAAATTTTGTTGATCCAACTATCATCTCATTGTTCAATCAATCATATACATTTTGTCCATTCTACAAAATACATTAATATTGACAAATATTTAACTGAATACAACATCATATTTTGTTGAGTCAACAATGATTTCATTGTGCAACCAATCGAATGTTTTTTTTTCTATTTCACAAAATAGAATTGATTATAACAACATCATATTTCGTTAATTCAACACATCACTATCAAGTAATATTTTGTTATTTCAAACAAATTACTTTGTTGAACAGAACCCACAAATGCATTATATCGAACAAATATTTTGTTGAATGATTATCTAGTTGCATTTTCGCCACTAGGTGGCGCTTCTTCCAACCTTCCTACGCTCACCTCGATTGGGGTGTACATATACCTACCTAAAACATCCGTTTATATAATAACATCAGGCTGTCCTAGACTTCCTTATGGCGCTTATACAAGCTAATACTCTTGGATCAACGAGGAAATTGATCCTTAATTCCTCCTAGTTTTGAAATTCAGTCATTGGATTTTTAATTATATTATTCAGCAAAATATTTTGTCAATTCTAAATACAATTTGGTTGATCGAAGAAAATATATTGTTATTTTGACATATTCACTCTGAAAAACTGAAAATTTTGTTCGTTCATAAGAGCAGAATATTGTATGATAGGAACAAAATAGTCTTTGTTTATTCAACCGATTCCTGCTGCTAATTTGAATCATAAGTGAGTTACATCAAATGAATTTTGAATAGAAAACTGACAAAAAACATTTGTTGCGGTGACAAAATATCGTGTCGTGGATATATTATGACACTCAGATTTTGTTGTATTCACAAAAATTTTGTAGTTTCAATCCAATTTTTCTTTCTGTGAAATATCAATGAGAATAGGAAAGGAAGAACGACTAAAAAAAAAATACATCTATAAATTTCTTGGTTCCTTGAAATAGACGCATTTTAATACAGACGATTTCTACATGTTCCTGGCTGTTCCATCAGGTATAAATGAAAATCGCATTGACTTCATGGGTATTTTGTTTCTCGACTTCACGAGCAGACCCAACACTGTCTAGTTGATTCAGGATTAGCAACTCACGATATAGAGCAGTGAGCAGTTTTCATATATTCATTGTAGAATCAAATGTTACAAAAGTGGTGCCGTGAGGTGTAATATACACCTCAGAGCACTTTACGCACCTATTTCACAAATATCATGTCAGCTCGCGAAATTAGTGCTTTACGAACTTGGCTGGCCTTTGGTCATATTGCTCTAAGTGGAGTGAAATATGTCGAAAGAAGGAAGGAATGCTCGAACTCATCTCCACAAATTTCAATGATGTTGTTACACAATCATAAGGGAGATGTTTCGGTCTTATAAAAGACCATCTTCAGCATAATTGAAAGTTTTGAAGTTGAAATTATTTTTGATGCTATTGTTCTAGAATTGTTGTCGATGCCCATAGACCAGAATTCAAATACTTGATGAAAAAATGGGTTCTCAATGAATGAAGGGCCCCAAATTGAGAACCCGTTCTTTCATTAAGTATTTGAATTCTGGATTATGGGCATCGACAACAATTCTAGAAACAATAGCATCAAAAATTTGTCCATCTCCAAAACTTACAATTAGGCTGAAGATGGTCTTTTATAGGACCGAAACATGTCCCTTATGCATGATTATGTGAAAACATCATTGAACTTTGTGGATATGACTTCGAGCATTCCTTCCTTCCTTTGAAACTTGGCTGGGGTTTCTCACAACACACATTCCGAACGCTTGGGTAAGTTCACGTCCACTCAAAAAATTGCACGGGTGTAATTCGGTGAGATGATTTGATGGATACGTATATCACATAATTGTTGATTGTTTTTCTAATTTCTCCACTCGAGAACTATAAATCGCGAAATTTTCATAAATTAATCAATTTTCTGATAGAGTAAATTTGATCAAAATGATTATAATTTTGGCTGTCATGCTTTCAGACATCAAGTTCCCGTTTTGTCACCAAAGAAGTTGGGGCAATAAACTACTTCTGCTGTCATATTGACTAAATCACATCAGCGACTCACGGGAATTCATATACCTACACATAAAACGATCCTGCGGTGACTGATCTCTGGTTTTAGCATTCGCCAGATTTTATTCCATCGTCTGGAGACAAGGAAGGGGGTAATGACCGCCATTTTCCTACCCTTGTATATATACGCGCCTGGAGCCACGTGACCATTCTCGATAAGACGTCTCAAAAACATTAAAACACATTTCTCCCCCAGTACAATACATGAATTGAATATCTGCTATCAAATAATTGATATTGTTCATTCTTAAACACTGATTTCCATATGAAGGAACATAATGATTCAAGAAAGAGAAAACATGTATTCTCCATATACTCAATCGAATTTTTGGCCTATGAAAATACCTACTCAGATATGATCAATAAGCAGTGCCGGTTTAAGGTGATTTGCCGCCTGGTGCTATGAAGGACGCACCGTCCTTCAGACTCAAAAATATTCCTGATCTTTCAGGTCTTTGAATTTATCTCCATGACACATTTTTGAAGTGATAATGAATTTTATATGCACGTTGGACGTTTTCTGGGATGGGAGTAAAACGGCAAACTCGCGTCCCGGGTGCCGCGTACCATACCCAAGACCGTCATAATCATATGAGCAGTGTAACTATACCACAGAAGTTCTACGCACACCAGTTTTTTTATAGATGTTTGATAAACAAAATGAAAAATATAATATAACAAACAGGATGTTGTGGAATAAAATTGAAAACATAATTCTTTAGTGTTCATATCATGAATAACCATGAAAATGAATAGGTATATGTTGAAATAAAGAAGAAAAATCGAATGATAATAGGCAAGTACGTAACTAGCAACATAAAGTAACATTACAAAAAAGGGTTTCCTTGCTTCAATGCTTATGTGTGATTCACTCCACAATCTCTATAACTTAGTTTCATTTAGTAGATCTTGTTTGAGATAGAGACACAATTGTAAGCCTTAAAATTTTCGAAAACAAATATTCATATTGGGAAAAAAATATACTATATTACATTATTCTCGTGTAGACCTTGGACTGATTCCATAATAGGAGTTCCATAGTCTAGGATAAAATTGTTTCTTTCAGATGAATAACATTCGTCAGAAACAAGTTTGTCTAGATCCTCTACATACTTTTTTTGTAGTTTAGTTGCCAATTCGATCAAATTCCCATCCTCTGCTGAACAGAGAGTCGAATGATTCTGAACAGGATTTTCAGGTGGAAGTCCGATGAAAAATTTCAAATCTGCAACATTAAATAAAACACTGTTTCCGCTATTTTTCTCTCTGGCTTGAACCCTTTGCCGTATTTTTTCTTCTAATTGTGCTCTTCTTGGGATGATTCACTTTTCAACATCAATTTTAGTTTAGGTAGTGTAGTGATCGAATCTTTCGCGTGAACAAATTCAAATATTCAGATAATGACTGATGACAAAATATGTGCAGTTGTATTTTCATATGGTCGCCCTGAAGATTTTGCTGCCTGGTGCTATAGCACCAAAAAGACCCCTGGTAAAACCGGCAATGTCAATAAGTCTATATTTTTTTACACATATCATAACAGAAACTCGGGAACCTTTATTGTGAAACATATTCAAACACCAAAAG